CCATTTTAACGTGTCTGAAATCAAAATACGTCTTACAACAAATGGTGTAATTACAATTGGCAGTCCTGTAGCCTTTACAGTAGTACAGAAAATAATGGTGCATCCTATAAATGATAGCTGCTTAGATGAGATGAAATAAGATGTATTTTTAGCTCTGTGGTTCTCAGCCTGTGTATTACCAGGAAGAAGGATGCAGAAGCAAGTCAGCTGGATCACAGGGTTTTGGTATCAACTCCTCTGTCCTCTCAATTCCCCTTCACATATTTAAGCTCTAGGATACTGGAGCTGTGCAGTATCCACAGCTCTCCCCTCTGCCATGTCCTTAGTCACTGCAGCCACTTGGTGTGTCTCCTTCTTCCTGTCTCTCTGCCTCCTAGCACGTGTCTGATTGCTGATTCTTGCCCATCCCACATGTCACACTTGCCAGAGACTGCTGCTTCTACTCCACGGTAGAGCACATTGCTTAGCCATAAAATCGACACAGGGATTATGCTAGAGAGAAATCCCATGAAGGAAACCCATAAGGCTGAGCTTTCTTGGCTACGGGTTCCAGGCACAAGGTACCTGTCTCATGTGCTCATTTATTATTATTTTGGGACTGACCCAAAAGGGACTGATGGACAGAAGTGGGACGCATGAGGACTGAGGGTACTGTTATCTTTGGTTTCCTAGCATGTTCCCCCCACCCCCATCTCTCCTTTTCTGAAGACAGAACTAGCCCTTTGGCCACAAGGGTGGCCTGATGCCAACCTGGAACAACAGAGTTCTTCCAGTGGCCTGGGTCATGACCTTGAAAGAGACATATTCTCTTTCTCTTGGGGTGGTTAATTTGAGGCTGCCCATGACCAGCTTTCCCGCTACATGAAGAGAGTATCTGGAACGAAGCTCAAACAGAGACCAGCATACTAGACAGTGGGGCGAGCAGCCCCAAGTCCTTCCATCCTGTGAGGTACCACCATTATCCTTCCCTGCACATGAGCCAGTGCATTCCTGTCCTGCTTAAACAAGCTTCAGCTGGATTTCTGTTCTGTGGAATCAATACAATACAGGGTATTTTAAACCTCTGCTTTGAACTATCTCTCTAGCTTAGCTGTTCTTTTGAAAGTTATTTGTACCAAACAATTCAAATTTGAGTTTTGGGAAGGCAAAATCCCCATATTGTGTGTTGTTGACTGAAAGGAGATCCCTAGGCCTCAGCCACTGGCTTTGGTTGAGGAACTGAGATAACTTAAAAGCCTGGTGTGGATTTTCACTAGAGTGAGGGCTCCACCATGAGCTGGATCAGGGATACCCACAGGCCGCTTTGGATTTACCCTGCGTTTTCATCAGGTACCAGATGGACCCTCTAACAGAAGTCTACACCTGAGGCCCGGCGTTACGATAGCCAGTCATTTTGGCTTCGGCTTGTCATAATTGGTAAGGTCTATCTTTCTGACAGCATTTGCCCAACTGGTTCCTCTGTCTTTTGAAGGCATGTCCTACAAGTGCTGAGCCCAAGGCATTATGGCTTGGAGGAGGGTTTGCTTGAACTATTTGCTGTGGCAGAAAGGTATGCATCTAGTTTACTAAAAACTATATGACATTATTCAGGAATTAAACAGGAGATCTTAGGAACAGCTTTGTTTGTACTTTTTAAGATAGAAATTTACTTGGTTTAAAAGCACCGCCATCCGTCTGACTCTGGTAGAGATACTGTGATAAAAGCTTTCAGGAATGTCGATAGCTCAAAATTGGCATTAGCCCATACACAGTTCTTGTCTACTGAAGTCTAGTAAGAGACTGATACATTGTGACAGTCTTGAATGATTAGACAAAGGTCATACTAAAGCTGGATATTGTAAGGTTGCTACAAAATTCATTTCAAAGGTTATATATGCCAGCACAGCCCTGGGAAACCAATGCTTATTTACTCAGTTGCTCAAAAACTAACTTCCTTACGGAACTGAGTACCCCATCATGAAGTGTAAAATCATTTCCAGAGAACCTCTCAAAAGCTACTGAATGGAGAATTTTACAAAAAGTCATTTTCTTATCAGATAAGATATTTTAATGTTGGCTTCAACCTTTCAATAAGTCAGACTCTTAAGATGCCCCTTTATTTTTCTTTAAAATTTAACCAGTTATTCCAAAGTCAGCTATGAAGCAGGCCTCCCTCATTCAAAACCAATTTACCTGCAGAAGGTTAGCATACTATTTCTTTAGGATCCTCAGAATCCTCTATTCTGTAAAACAAAACAAAACAAAACACCCCAGAAACTATTAAAAAAATCTGCCCAGCTGATTTTTTTTTTTTTTAAGGCGGGTAGGAGAGAAGGCATTTGTGCCTTTTATCTGAGGATTTCCTTCCACGTAAACTTGTATGATCGATCTGGAGTGCGACTTCGTGGGTTCAAATTCTGGCTCCACTTCTTACTAGCTAGCTGGAGGGAGGGTGGGACGGTAGAAAACCGCCCCACTTTGCCCATGCAAGCATTTCAATCATTTACTTGGAAAGAGAAATCATTTAAGATTATATCGTTTGACTGTAAATGTATTACTATAGTGCGTGTGATCTTGGGTAAGTCATATAATCTCTCTGAACCCGTTTCCTCAACTGTAAACCGGGAAACAATAGAGATTCGCAGCGCCGGTAAAGCTCAAAAAGCGCAGGGCTGTTACGTGGTAAACGCCCAACTTCTTTACTTACACTTGATAACCCCGGAGGCTCGGAAGTACACTTCCTACCTGGGTAACTACTATACAACCCACCCTTTCTCCGGGCTCGTCCGTTCCCCAACCTTGGAGAAAAGACCATTTCTCTCCCGGGTCTTTAAAATACTTTGTACTAGCCGACTGGAAAGGGCGCCGCGGCCGGGGAAGCTACCGCGGCCCAAGCGCCTTGGGCTTCCCCTTTGACAAGAGAGTCCCCACTCCGAGAGCAACGCGAGCCCAGATCCGGCCTTCGGGTGGGGGCCCGGGCGGGCGCGGCTGTGCGTGCGCCGCGGAGGGTGGTGGCGGTCCGCGCCCCGCCCTCGGCCGCCGCCCCCGCCGCTGCCTCGGCGTGTCAGGTGCCGTGAGAAGCGCCGAGGGACATGAGTGGAGCCGACTTTCCAGAAGCGGCGCACGCAAGGCACAGCTCCGCACGCAAGGGGGAGGCGACAGCAGAAGAGATTTTTCAACCCAATAAAGTTCGCAGGCGCGCGGAGATTGGCCTCCTCCTCTTCTACCCCCCACCCCTCGCCTCCTCCCTCCAGGAATCTTCAGAGTGCCCTCCCTCCCCTCCTCTCTCCAGTGTTCGTCCCAGCTTGGCTCCCCCGCCGGGCGCCAGGGCCTCCGACGCGGCCAGCGTTGCCCCGCGCTCTCCAGTGGGCGGCGCCACCTGGAGGAGTTTCTACGAGGGAAACCTTGGGGCCAGCTGCGGTGCGCCAGCGCTGGCTGGCCTTTGTGTGCCAAGGACACTCTGGGCCCCGGGGCGGGGGAGCGGCGTCCTTCAGGGATTCTCGATCTCGCCGCGGTCATGTCAAAACTGACATGACCGGCCGATTTGCTTGCGAGAACGTTAAAATAAAAATAAAACAATTCGGGATGCAGTAAGGCAAACCGCTACCACAACCGAACTTGCTTTTCCAAACTGACAGGTTTCCTTTCCCGGTTCTGGCGCCCAAGGATCTCGAGAGGTTTTCTCTCGGGGAAGGACGCTCAAGCCACCGAGAGGGAAGGGAGGTCGTACCCTCGGGGCGTGGAGGCACTCCCACCGAGAGCGCAGGGAGGTGCTCAGGCACCGGGGAAACTGTGCGGCCTCGATCTGGGGTGACTGCGAGGAAGAGTGGTTTTTCGGCAAACGAAAAGTTCACACCGCTGCTTCCAGGAAAGCCGCCAGCTACTGCGCCAAGGCCGTCGGGGCGCTCCGGGGCCGCCTCGCGTGACTACCCGCGCGCGCGGCGACCCAAGCTGTAGTCCGAGAGGCTTGGACTGTCCCGGCGCGCCCCGCCCCCCGCAAGCCCCGCCCCCGTCAGGTCCCGCTGCCTCCTCCCCAACACAGACCTTAAAAAAGAGAGAAGCGGGATGGCGCGTTTTGACTCTCCCGAGTGACTGTGCAAACGGGCCACGCCTGTGCGACGCCAGCTGTCAGAGTCGTGCGGGGGGCGTGGGGGCTGGGAATTGACTCTGTTCATCGACCCGCAGTCTCAATCCCCACGCCCTGAGAAAACCCTGACTTTGCCGAGGCCCAGGTGCAGCGGGGCTCTGCAAAGAAGACACCTTTCTCCGCCCCCATCCCAATCCAAGCGCCTCCGGCTCTGACGACGCCTAGAGACTCCAGAGTGGGCGCTAAAGTTCCCAGACCTGGCAACAGGTGTCTAGGGCGGGCCTCCGACTTCCTGGAGACACTTAGGTTGCGGTCTTGAATCCCACAAAGGCCCCAATCCGTCCTCGGAGCCGGCCGTCTGGCGCTGCTGGAAACCGCGCCGCCTTGCAGGTCAGTCTGTCAGCGGAGCCGCCTTACTGCGGCCTCTTGTGATGGGTTCTCGCAGATCAGGGGTGACGGGGGGCGCAGGGGCCGGGGTGGTAGGCACTTAGAGGGAACTGAGCGCCACAGCCTTGATGCACTCTTCCTCGCAGTCACCCCAGATCGAGGCCGCACAGTTTCCCCGGGACACAGCCTAAGCACCTCCCTGCGCTCTCGGTGGGAGCGCCTCCACGCCCCGAGCGTACGACCTCCCTTCCCTCTCGCTGGCTTGAGCGTCCTTCCCCGAGAGAAAAGGCATCAAGGCCTTGAATTGCAGGAACCGTTACGCGGCTGGGGCGGGGTCGGGGGGAGTCTGGGTCACAGAGAGGTAGAAACACGACCCTTCCCTTCTTTTTTGGGGAATGGGTTTAGAATGGCAAGAGGCGTCTTCAGCGGCGTCTCCAGTGAGCTAGCCCTGACCTGACCTACGCACGACCCCCTCCCTACCCAACAGTGCACGGTAGCCCGAGGCCGGGGGTAGGGGCGTAGGGCGCCCGCCCCTTTCTCTGCCTACCTGAGTGTCACGCCTTCGCCCTTCTCTTCCCAGCATGGCCACCAGCCTCAGCCCGGACGATCATCTGCCGCCTATCCCTCTGTCGGCCCAGCAGACCATGCTCCTGTTGCTGCTCTCGGTACTGGCCGCGGTGCACGTGGGCCAGTGGCTGTTGAGGCAGCGGCGGCGGCAGCCGGGGTCCGCGCCCCCGGGTCCCTTCGCTTGGCCGCTGATCGGAAATGCGGCGTCAATGGGCCCGGCGCCTCACGTCTCGTTCGCACGCCTGGCGCGGCGCTACGGCGACGTCTTCCAGATCCGCCTGGGCAGCTGCCCGGTGGTGGTGCTGAACGGCGAGCGCGCCATCCGCCAAGCCCTGGTGCAGCAGGGCGCCGCGTTCGCCGACCGGCCGCCCTTCGCCTCTTTCCGCGTGGTGTCTGGTGGCCGCAGCCTGGCTTTCGGCCAGTATTCGGAGAGCTGGAAGGCGCAGCGGCGCGCGGCGTACAGCACGATGCGAGCCTTCTCCACGCGCCAGCCGCGCGGCCGCCGGGTGCTCGAGGGCCACGTGCTGGGCGAGGCGCGGGAGTTGGTGGAGCTGCTGGTGCGCGGCAGCGCGGGCGGCGCCTTTCTCGACCCGCGGCCGCTGACCGTGGTGGCCGTGGCCAACGTCATGAGCGCCGTGTGCTTCGGCTGCCGCTACAGCCACGACGACGCCGAGTTCCGAGAGCTGCTCAGCCACAACGAGGAGTTCGGGCGCACGGTGGGCGCGGGCAGCCTGGTGGACGTGCTGCCCTGGCTGCAGCGCTTCCCCAACCCTGTGCGCACTGCCTTCCGTGAATTCGAGACGCTCAATCGCAACTTCAGCAGCTTCGTCCTAGACAAGTTCCTGAGGCACCGTGAAAGCCTTCGGCCCGGGGCCGCTCCCCGCGACATGATGGACGCCTTCATGCTCTCGGCAGGAAAGGAAGCTGCCGCGGGCTCTGGCGACGGCGGCGCGCGGCTGGACGAAGAGTACGTGCCGGCCACCGTCACAGACATCTTCGGCGCCAGCCAGGATACTCTCTCCACCGCGCTGCAGTGGCTGCTCGTCTTCTTCACCAGGTAAAGCCTCCAGGAGGCTTGGGATGGCCTTCCTCCCCTCCTCTGTAAAAGGCAGAATGGAATTAGAATATGCTAAGGTCGCGACTAGCGCGCAGGGAGGGTTTGGGGTTTCGCTCCAGGTCCCAACCTCCCAAATTTGAGACCGCGTCCGGAAAGCGCGACTCAGGAAGGCGCGGTGCTGGCCAAGATGGGCGCGCGCGCACGCCCGCCCCACCCAGCGGCGCCCGGATGGCTCCGCATCTCTGATCTTGTCGCTACCCGCTCCGAGGGGGGGCAAATTTGTGTGAAACTCCTTGGAAAAGCAAGAGTTGTTTTTCAGTGCCCGCTGATCATCCCCGATCTCCCGCACTGGCACAGGAGAAGCAAATTTGGAACGGTTCCGAAGGAAAGGGCAGCGCAGTAAAAAAAAAAAAAAAAAAAAGTTAAATAAACACAGCAGCCTAATCGGCTCGGCCAGTCTTCAGCGCGGATCGGAAGCCGCCCGGCCCTGGAGCCAAAAGCCAATCTCTCGTCAGGGCTTTGTACACCGGCAAAGGTACCGATTGGCGGTCGGGCCTCACGGACTGCTAATCCGAAACTTCGGGAAAGCGGCCAGAAACCAGCGGATTGTGCTGGGTTTCTAAACCCGCCGCGCTAGAAGTGTCAGTGTAAAGAATGGGAGAAGCAGTAACTGTACCGAGCGCAGAGCGGCATCTAGAAAGGCAAACTGGGTATCCGGGAGGCACCTGCAGCCCTCTAGGATCCTTGGGCTCGGCTCGGTTAGTTGGACCCCAGTCGCGGACCTCTGCTAAATTTGTACACGCACGAATTAAACAGGTCCCCGGTATCCCCAGATTGAGCAAATAAAAAAAATTTACATAGGACATAGTTATATTAAAAGATTAGTCGCTGTTTATCTGAAATTCATGTCTAACTGGGCAGCCTGCATTTTATCTGGCAACCTTACCCCAGGGGTAAATGTCTCATTCAAGGCAACTCTTGATTGCCTTGAGAGACCAGAAATCCTGGTTGTGCAATTTCTTGGCGCACAGGAAAGCGATAGGAGAAGCTGAATTTGCTGGCCCCTAGAAACTGGAAGGTAAAAACAACTTCTTTTGTTGTTAGAATCCACTGCATTAGAATCCTATATTTCCTTATGTACTGTACAACTGCTTTTCACAAATCCTTCTTCTTTTTTTTCTTTCTTTCTTTTTTTTGGTTATATTTAAAATCACTTTTCAGTATTAATATCATGGAAACACATATGGGGGAGGGGCAGAAATCGAATAAAGAGAAGTCAATAATAACAGGTCAGGAAGAAGACAATTCCAGAATGGGATCAATAAGTCCTTTGCATCCCCAGATAAGCATGTTATCTTTTGAAACAGCCTTTCTTTTTTTCACTAGAAACCGAATTGTAAATCGTTCTCCGGGTACCCCAATTGGGCAGCAAAAAGAAGTAAAACAATTTTGGGATCACTTTCAATTCGGTATAGCTAATGAGTCCTTTTTTCTTCTTTTTAGTGAAAAAATACGACAGGGGTTGGCAAATTACATTACCTGTTTTTGTATGTAAGTCTTATGGAAATACAGCTATGCCCATCCATTCTTGTGTGGTCTATGGCCGCTTTCACACTACAGCACAAGGCAGAGTTGGATAGTTGGGAGGCAGAGGGTTTGATCCACAAACCCTAAAATATATACTATCTGGCCCTTTATGAAAAAGTTTGCAGACCCCTGAAGTATGAAGCTAAAGAAGCGATTTTTAAAATCACCCATAATTTCACCACATGTGTGCTTAATTTTTTTTTCAGATTCGCAAGAATTATTTACAAATGTTTTGACTTCTGACATTTCCACTCACTGTAGTGGACATTTCCCTGTCTTTTAAACTTGATTTTAGTAATTTTTTATGGCTCCATAACATTTTGCCATAGTAACGGATTGTTATGTACAATCATTTCTTGTGTTTTAATGTTGATTGCATTTTTAAAATTTCAGCTATTGTGGTTATGTTTTTGTACCTGCTAAGTTATTTCCTGAAAACACATTTCTAGATCACTGGGTTTTAAAAGGGTGGGGAGGAGTTACCCTTATAGATCTTGCTTTGTTTTCCGAAAGGATTGTACTAGTTTTATTGGCAACAGTGAATAAGTATTACAATCTGTACCGTAATCTCGTGAACATTGGGGATTTGCTTTTAAATTTAGAAGATATGCAGCTTTATCTCTCGGGATACCAATTATCTTTGTATAAAATGAGAACAGTGTGTCTGCTGGAATTGTCTAGGGAGATGAGGAGAAAAGAAGAACTCACTTTGAGGGTTACATTTTAATTTTTGTGGACCCCGGGGCTTTTGCCTTTGTAGACATCTTACTCAATAAAAATTTTTTAAATTAAATTTTATGACTACATTGGTATAAAGATTAATATATTAAAATTATATATTGAAACATTCTCGTTGACCTAAAAGTTTATTTTCTTCTGATAAGAAATGAATTTTCATGAGTCCCTCAAAAGTGCTGTGGGTCCTAGGCACTGTCCCTGCTGTGCCCCATGGAGAAGTCGACCTTATCCATTGTTGTGCTTTTTCAGGCTGAGAAAACTTAGACCTTTTTTTGACTTACGATGGGAACGAGAGCTTGAGCCATGGGAGACTTATTACAGGAAATATAACAAACTCCATCCTGTAATGCAGTGATAAATTAGGAAACCATTTTAGATTTTTTTTTTTGGCTGGAAATCTTAATTCAGTTTCTGATTCAGATAGCCAGTTTAAAGAAGAGTGGTATTAAAATAAATTGTAATGGGCTTTCTACATGAAAGAAGAATTAGTGTTCCTGACTTATTTTCTCTCTCTGCATTAAAAACCAAACAGGTATCCGGAAGTGCAGGCTCGGGTACAGGCAGAACTGGATCAAGTGGTGGGTAGGGACCGGCTGCCCTGCCTGGACGACCAACCGCACCTGCCCTACGTCATGGCCTTCCTTTATGAAGCCATGCGCTTCTCCAGCTTTGTGCCCGTCACCATTCCTCACGCCACCACGGCCAACGCTTCTGTCTTGGGCTACCACATCCCCAAGGACACGGTGGTTTTTGTTAACCAGTGGTCCGTGAATCATGACCCAGTGAAATGGTCTAACCCAGAAGACTTTGATCCAGCCCGATTCTTGGACAAGGATGGCTTCATCGATAAAGACCTGGCCAGCAGTGTGATGATTTTTTCAGTGGGCAAACGGCGGTGCATCGGGGAAGAGATTTCCAAGACGCAGCTGTTTCTCTTCATCTCCATCCTAGCTCATGAGTGCAATTTCAGGGCCAATCCAGACGAGCCTTCGAAAATGGATTTTAATTACGGCCTGACCATTAAACCCAAGTCATTTAAAATCAATGTCACTCTCAGAGAGTCCATGGAGCTCCTTGATAGTGCTGTCCAGAAGTTACAAGCTGAGGAAGACTGCCAGTGAGAAGCCAGAGGCAAGCAGAAATTTTATAAGTACACAAGTCTTGGGGGATGGAGAGTAAAATTAAGGTTTGCTTTTCTTTTTCCTAGCTCCTCTGTGCCACTTTCTCAATTAGCCTCTAAAATGAGCATAAACCAACTGACCCGCAGATGATGTGCTTTGTACACATGTCCTCAGAATGGCATCTCATGAGCAGTGGGCTGTGTAGGAGCTCCAGGAGCTATTTTGAGTCAAAGAATTAAAGGACCCAAAGAATTTTTATACATATATTGAATGTTGGTAATCATAATTTCTTGAGGGAGCATTCTTTGGAGTTAAAACACACATGTGCATAGATACAGAACTACCTAATAAAGAGGCATATTAGTAACCATGCCTTGTCGGGTGGGATCCAAGATGGATGTGCTGAAGTCTGCTCCATCGAAAACCGTATTAAGCAAAGTTTCAGGAAATACTGTTGAATATGCAAAGGCAAATAATTTCAGTGTAAGACATGTGATTTGGGGTGATAAGGGAAAAAGTAAAGACCAGAAATTCCCTTCTCACCTTTCCAATAAAATAGCTTGGTTAGGCTCTAATATCTATGGATGGA